AATAATGTTAATATTGGGGACTCATTAAGTCGCATCGATGTCATCCTTATCAGTGACTGTAGCGGCCTAGCGAATATTCACTTGTGATCAGTGTGGGATCGAACCCCGACCTCCAGGCTAGCGAGCCAGCGTCTTGCCCACGTAGCCACGCGATCCCCTAAAAGGATGATACTCTCGGGTGTAAATACATGACCGAACCACTACTGTCATATTGAAGACGGGCATACGCCATACTATGAGCGAAATTTTGCCAGGACAGCGCACTATGGCCTACCATTATATCGAATTCCAACTACCAAGGGATATTTTACGTGCCAGGCCCTCTGTCCAGCACAACTGACAAGACCACGTCGGAAAATCTGGATGAACTTTCTCGTCCAATGAAGGGATCGAACACCCAGCTTTCGGGTTACCGAACCAACGTCTTACCTGCCTAGCCACTGTGACTCCCCCGCAAAATATCAAGCACCAAAAACAATGGATCTTGGCCTTATGATGACACACTATGAAAGCCTCATACGCCCCACCCCCCTCCCCCACGTCTCTTATTTTGTTTTACAAATAATTTCAGAATCAATAAAATGGTATCAATGATGTTTGATACGACTGGACAATAACATGTATAACATTGATTAAACAACATAGGTAGTAATGAGAAATATTACATATTGAATCCGTATTAGTGATAATGTACATTTACTCAATACGTTCTTTCCAATAGATCATCATTTAACTTGAAACAAGGGAAACAGTCGATCGAAGAAAACAGATTTTTTTTTTTAAAAAAATAAACAAAAACAGGTTTCAATGTGACAGTAGTGCTTCGGTCATACATTTACCTCCGAGGGTGCCATCCTTTCTTTGAAAGTAATGATTGTGCCAAATTTGAACAAATTCCATCTAGATTCGCGGCCTGTAGGTAGAGTGTTGACAGATCAAATGTAAAAAAAAATAAAAACAAAACCATAAACCCCAGACCTATAAAAATATATTTTTTTAAACTCTTTTAATTTTGAAATTATATTGTTTTCACATGTGCTAAGTGTTTTAGCGAATATTTATAGAAGGGTCTTGTAGATAAAGACTATTAGCGCATGTGCAGTTTTAAACTTCCGAGACGACAAGTCGACAAGTCGATGATACGACAGTTTAGTGTTTTGTCGTACCGTCGTATTATCGACTTGTCGTGGCGATAAGTCGATGATACGACGACACGACAAAATCACACGATCTTACGACAAAATCACGCGATTTTACGACAGAACAAACTGTCGTAAGATCGCGTGATTTTGTCGTGTCATCGACCCGATTTTGTCGTGCCGTCGTATCATCGACTTATCGCCACGACAAGTCGATGATACGACGGCACGACAAAAAGCGAAACGGTCGTATCATCGACTTGTCGACTTGTCGTCTCGGAAGTTTAAAACTACACAGTGCACATGCGCTATAGTCTTAATCTACAAGACCCTTTCTATAACTATTGGCTAAAACACTTAGCACATGTGAAAATAATATAATTTCAAAATTAAAATAGTTTTAGAAAATATATTTTTATAGGTCTAGTTTTTTTTTGCGTTTTATCTGTCAACACTTTACCTAGAGGCCGCGAATCTAGATGGACTTTGTTCAAATTTGGCACAATCATTACTTTCAAAGAAAGGGTGACACCCACGGATGTAAATGCATGACCGAACCACGCTTGTCATATTGAAACTTGTTTTTTAAAATCTTTTTTCTTCAAACGGCTGCTTCCCTTGTTTTCAAGTTAAATGGTGATCCATTGGAAGGAACATTTTGAGTAAATGTATCATTGATACGGATTCAAAATGTAATATTTACTACCCTATGTTGTTTAATAAATTTTAGACACATTAATTTCCAGTCGTATCAAACATCATTGATAGGGACCTACCATTTTATTGATTCCGAAATTATTTGTTAAACAAAATAAGAGGGGGGGGGGGTGCGTAGGGGACTTTCGGAGTGTGTTCATAGCTGAAGGCAGTACTGGGCCTATTTTTAATCATCTAGGCCCCGATCCCATTAGTGATGCCAAACGGATGAATATGCGATAAGGTCAATAACAGCTGCAAATCGCTATCTTCACCTCATAAAAAAACCTCCCCTGAACTTATTGGGATGGCGTGCTACCCCAATGCGGTGATTTTATGTGGTCTGATTTGAGGTTTTATATAATCCTCTTCCCACTCTAATAAAATAAATTGGAAATCTTCTGAAATCGCTTCTAAACTATCGCTTCAGTAATCTATAAGTATTGGTGGGTGTCGTACACGAGGCAATGCATGCTTGTTCGATACCTACCGACACCACTTCTTATTCAAGGAATTAACATAGCTGACTCACTTTTGTCCTGCTATTATAATTCTAGATTTTTTGAATATAATACCAAATATAATTCAATTATGGGCGCAAAATGTTTCATTTTTTTTAGAAAACGAATAATTAATCAACGTTTTCCTATTATCTCTTTTGACGAGTCTTATTGTATCTAATCTGATGTAATGAGTACAGCTGTATTTTTGTGACTTGTAGAAAGAGACTATGCCAATAAGTCGACATTACGATAAAAATAACACGATGATACGACAGAGTTAAGTGTCGTATGATTGCGTCAATACTGTCGTGATGTCGTGTTGTCGCGTTATGGAAAGGGCGAGTTTTAACATGGCCACTATCAGCCACCATATACCTCCAATGTTTAATCTATCGCAAAATTTGGGATCATTGTTGGTCATCTTGGGGGTGGGGGTGGGCTTACATAGAGGACAATTTGTCTGGTACGGCCTGCTTTGTACGGTATCCGCAATGTTTGATCCAGTCCAATTTTGGTCACCCTCTTTGGTGCTTTAAGGGCCACACGCAGTAACTAACTGGACCCCGACAGACTTCCATATTTGACAAGGTTAGTTTACACAGTAAACGCTCCGATACTCAGGTACCTTGTTCGTTGTTCCCAAATGCTCTGGACTAGACCTTATCTCTTTTACTTTTCAGCAATATGGTGTCTACAATGAACTTGCTGATGGTCGTCTGTTGCTTACAGGCTTCACAGACGTCGTCACTTTTAAATCTACCGTCCCTGTCTACCCCTGGTTTGAATAAAGGAACAGTTAACAGTCAGGATGAATATGTTTGGATGGAACAAGATTGTATTTATCTAGAACCCGAAAACATCACTGCGCCTTTTGAATCTTGGACTCTACAACATAAATTTAACTATAGATATAAAAAATGTGGAGAGAACTGCACCACACCACCACCTATAGGAATCAGAAGTGCCGTACCTTTAGGGGGTAGGCGCTGTTCATATTGTTGGGTTATATGACGCATTTATACCGGTGGTCATTCTCAATCTCCATTTAAAGGAGGTGGTCCGACTCTTAGACAACGATGATAACTACTCTGGATATGGCGTCACGTCAAATGTGTTTTAGTAAATCGGTTAAACTTGTATGTGTTATTCGCAAGGAATTGTTAGTCTATTTCTATCCTTTCCAGTTGATATTTTCCAGTTCTGGTTAGACCCGGCATGTTACGAAAGAATCTTTAATATAGTGAGGCGTTTCAACGGACGCGTGTTCAATTTTGCTTTTATAAAATCTTGATTCTAGTATCTGTCACCGTTATAATATAATAATGAATTATAAATTTGTAGAGTGCATTCTTTCCAGTAAACTGTTTCCGATCTCAAAACATCAATGGGAAGTTTATTCCACAATCATTACTATTATTTGTCACTACAGGTGTTACTACTGGGAGTGTTGAATTAAGAGCTGATGGAAGTTTTCATGAATGGACATTAATGAATCTCTCACCCGTGGGTGGAGCGAAAATTCAAGTAAGTTGCGACATACACATTGTTCATATAGTTCGGGTACGCAGGGGACCTCAGTTGAATGGAAAGTTTGAAGGAACCTGCCACAAGTATTTGTTTTTGGTGACAGTTTTAGAATGGGTAGTAAATTTTCTAGATCGCACCTGCTATTTAGAAACACGTAATTACGATAATGATATTTTCAGGTTTTTGATGAAGCATTCCTTGGATTACGTACTACAAGTAAACCCTACCGGAACCCAAATAATGATAAACACAGAAACCGCCATGACGAGAAAAGCCAATCTTTGGTGTTAAGAACACATCCTCCCTCTGGTTTACCAGGTGTACAGAGTTTATCTTATACTGGTCTTTATCCAGCAGCCCATCTTACAGTTGAAGATACACGTCTACCAATAACTGCTAACGTCACTGCCATGTCAACATATTTTTTTAATGATCTCAACTCTTCAGCTTTTCCCGCCATATCTTTCATCTTTACTGCAACCAATCCGTCCTTGACCGACACAGTTGAGGCCTCCTTCATGTTTAATCTACCTTTTGGTATAGAAAAAATGACCAGCAGAGAATTTGCAATACAATCAGGAATTCAAAATGGCGGTCAGAGTAGAAGTATGATTAAAGAAGCGGCTTCAGAATTGGAGTGCTTCACGATGTGCAATGAGTTACCAGCTTGTTTAACATGGATCTATGATGATTCTAATTCGACCTGCACCACTTTAACTTCCATAAACTTGAATGGTTTTAATGTTTCTAAATCATCTGGTTTAAAAGGCACATGGAGTATCAGTCAATCAACCCAATTAAAATGTCTGACTTTAAACAGACCTGGCACAGCCCCACCTAGCGGCAATATATCACTATGTACTAATATGGAGCTTGATGGTGTGACATTTGGTGTTGCTGATGATATTGGTGATCTATGGAAAATGTTTTCTGACAGTGGGCAATTTAATTTTTCCGGGAGTAACTCATACGGAGTCCATGGTGCTATTTCTGTTAAAATGACCCTTCCACCAGGTCAAGTGGTAAAATTGCCAATGACAATGTCCTGGTTTTATCCTAATAGAGATTTTGGTGATAAAGTCTTTGGAAATTGGTATCAACATCTGTTTTCTAGTAGTGAAGACGTAGCAGAGAAAATGTTAAATGGTGAAAATGCTAATCTTGGTGAACAGTCAGTATCTGCTACTAAGCTGCATCAAGCCTTTCTAGGTACCCAGGATAACCCAAGCAGTGTCCCCGTTTGGTTATCAGACGTATTAATCAACAGTTTAAGTCATATCAGGTATATCTTAGTCATTTGAGGAATGATGATTCCTTTCTCAATGTTACACAAAATGTATTTATACCCTGGATCACAAAGATATGGTAAATACTACTAAATAGCCAGTAGAAATGCTACCGGTGTAATATTTTATGACTAACTATGTATGAAGTGGAAAAGCATTACAGTTCGAATTCTAATTAAGACTTTGATCATAGCGTAACAAACACAAACGTGATCACGGGCCACGGTCTGTTTTTTTTTTTAAAAGTGTGTATTGAAAGGTGATTTTTAAAATTTAAATTTTCACAGGTCTGCTTTTTGGGTGGCAGATGGAAGATGGCGGCAATTTGAAGCGTTTGATTGCCCAAATGTTGGTAAGTAAAATATATCATCTTAGTATTAAAGTAGAGTAGAGTAAATTTATTTATAGTCCAAATCCATTCAAAACTTTTGTATGACGTTCTAATATTTCTTTAAGATTCCGTGCATAATGACGGTGAACGTCATATTCCATATATCATGATATTCCCTGAATCAGTTAAAAATAAGATGATTGGATGGGCTAAATCACAGCTGTCCAATGGTATGATGCCAGAGATGTTACAGCCTATTAATTGTGAAGCTAAATCGATAAAACCAGCAATAGATTTACCTGGTGGGAGAATTATGTCAGACGTTTCTTCGATGTTCATAGTTTATTTACTGGAACTTTACAAGTGAGTTATGTGTTAAGACACATCTAAATGAAATAAGTATGTCACATCCATAGAGACAGCACGCTTGTTGGAGGTCTATTATAATTATACATTTTTAAATGTATAATTATAATAGACCTCTAACAAGCACAAGTCTAAATATCAGCAATGATGCTAAGGGTTACTGAATGGGGCTACCTTCAAGGTTCCACTCAGAGCTTCCTTTTGAAACGATACCTACTGGTGTTTAGCCGAAAACCCATCGCACACTCCCTTTTAACCCCCCCCCCCCATACACCCACCCACCCATCCATATGGCAATACGACATTGACCCTACTTACGTTATTGGTGAAATGCAAGGAATTTGCTAATATGAAAACTGTATAAAGAATTTATACACGTATTTACATATTTGTAATGTAGATGTGACATTTTTTCGGGTATTTCCACTTTATTTAGTTTACCAGATTATTACGATATAACTTCGTGATAGACATAATTTGTAAAACAAACCGTGTATGTTCAATTGTACAAAACTCAGGAAAACCCTGTTGACCTAATTACTTTTGTACTCTAATTTATTCACGAGTTTTGTGGTTTTGTTGCTTATCTTTCAGGTGGGGAAACGAACAAGAGCTTGCTTCATCTCTGTGGCCGTTTGCTAAAAAAGCTGCCGAATGGCATATGGTGTCTGCAGAGAAATATGGAACACTTTATCGTATTCAAAATACTTATGATAATATTGGACTTAATAACTATGACGTAGCCACTTATAACTCGGCTTTCCATCTTTTGGCCATGAAAGCAGCCGAGCAGTTGGCAAGTGCAATGGGTAAGTGGAATTCAGAACTAAAAACAACTAGAATATTATATTGCGTCACAATAAAGCATTTTAACAAATTAGCTATATCTTTTTTTTTTATTTTAAAGATATCAAACCGTTAAAGATCTGTAAAACTAATACAAAGTAACTCAACTCTGTGGTGAAGGTAAATTTACAAATTTCTGTTGACTTTGGCATTAGTTTCGCTTCTGTTTTACTTGCTAAAAATGATGCATTTATGGTCATGGGTTATTGATCAACTGGCCAGATAAATTCGTCATTTAATTAGATTCTAAATGATTTGTGATTCAGGTGATACAGATTTTGCCAATAAATCAAGAAAAGCTTTTGAAGTTGGACAAATGGCTCTAGATAAATATTTATGGAACAATACGATGGGATATTATAATTCTTATACACCACATATAAACATGACTCAACCTAATCCAGGTGCTATTATGACTGATTGTTTTTATTCTCAGGTATTTTTATTTTCTATTTTACAGATATCGCTTGATTGATATCATTATGTACATCCTAATGACTAGCGTAATGAATAGCCTTACTCGTTCCGTTTTAAACACCTCATGTATTTCAGTGTTGGGTTTTGGGAGAGTGTGGTGACTCAGGTTAGCGTAACCTTGTTTATTATTAATATACTATGTGTGATTCCAGGTCTTGGCTCATTCAGCTGGTCTTGGTGATCTTGTCGACAGGGGGAGATTATCCTCTCACATGAACGCAGAGTTATCACACAACGATTCTCCTTATGGTATGATAGTTCAAACTGGTACGTAATAATAATCTTTGATAACCTTCAAATCGATGGTATTTGCTAACAAAACGCCGTCTATGTTTGTTAAATCTGTGTTTTTAGGGCGATATCCATATCCTGGACCTTCAAAGGACAATGCGGTATGGATGATGGGCAATCCTAACTGGGCCTCCACGCAACTTCGTCTTGGACTTGATCCGGAAGAAGCTCTGAATGTAGCCAAGAAAAGCCTTGATAGATACCGCACTGTTATTAATGATCTGTGGAACGTGGCTGGTAAGGGTTTTAAGTTTATTTTTTAAAGGATTATTTGCGTTTTCCAAATAAAAATATGCCAATATTAGTACCAGCATCATTATGGTTGGGAGCAATGAACCAGTTAAGACCAGAATTCTAATTAGTAGCGATACCTTTTAACATAGTGGTGTAATCTACTTATGCATGTACATTGGCCATTGCAAAATGACACATGTACAAAATGAGTCGGAATTATAACGTATAACGTAGATGCCACGCCCTAGGGCATCTAACTCAAAGAAATTTGCAAGTTATAACTTAGTTACACGGGAATCATGTCTTGTTGTGTCTGGTAGTATGTAGTTTCAGGAAAAAAACAATCTAGCCATTCCACAATGTACATTTGTTTTGACAAAGAATTAATCAAATGACCCTAGTTAACATATATTGATAGGAGTAAGTATGTGTGATCTTTTATACTTAGGTCTCTCTGGTGGAATTGGTTATGGCGTTGGTGGTCAACCATTGATGCTCAGTCACTATGGATACTACATGTCATCATGGCATATATTGTTGGCTTTATCTGGACAGGAAGCGGATCTACCATCCGGGATATTGACCTTTGAACCTAAAATACCAGCACCATTTAATTACCCAGTGATGTTACCAGGTGTACTCGGCACTATATCATCTAGTGTCAGTGATACAAACGTAACGTCATACACATTAACTCTGATGTTTGGTCAATTAAATTTAAAACATCTGGGTGTCAACAAAACATTCTTTCAAGGTAACGTGTCCGTTAAAGCCGGAGAAAGTGTTCAGTGGAATTGAAAAATAAAAGTGTACAATACCATTTTCTGAGTTTTCTCATTTTAATGTGCATTTCGATCATTGTAGTTGAATTTTTGCGGTTGATCATCGTGGCCATTTCGATCATAATAGGACACTCCTCTTGACCCATGTCTAACAATTACAGGACGCCTCTTCAAGCAACATAATCTGTTCGTCAGATTTAATCATCCCCACTAGTTTATTCGTTTGGTTAAGCTACACTAGCATTAACTGTTTATAAAATAATTTCAGCCAATCAGAAAGCTTATTCCGCAAAATTGACGAAGATATTATCAATTAAAGGCTAATATAACAATCTATAGTTTGGTTCACCAAAATGTAAAATAAGTGTTTTTTTACAATTTGAAAAAAATCCTACTAAAAAATAAAAAAAAGAACAATGCAATATAAACACGAATTAAATTCAATATTAATTTTGTCCAGTTCATCCATTATTCATATTGTTATCTTACTTTGAAAAGATGGGTTCTTGGTATCTAATAATCAAGACATATTTTTTGTTGACAAAACTGATCAAATAAGAACCATGATGTATTTGTCATCAGTCAATTGTAGCTAGTGGAATTGCAAGTAATAATATAGGGGGATATTAAAAGCTCATGCGGAATTTTAAAATAAATTGACGAAAAAAATACCAACCACCTCTTTTCCCGCGCCTTTTCAAATATGGAGATTATAATGTAATTTAAACATCCCCGGCATCGATCTTGTTGATCCTGTGCCAGAGCTCCAAAGCATTGGCTTCACTTTCTGTTCTTTTTAATCATAATTAAACAGGGGAAAACCGTGTTGTTCCAAATGCGTGTTTGCAGCACATCAATAATACAAACTTGTTATTACATAAATTATAAACTAGGCTCTTCCAAACTAATGGTGTCTCTTAGTCTCTAGCCCGGGCCTGCTGATATCGAAACCAACTTTAAGATCTCCCCATTGTGGCAGAACAATGTCTTGGAAATATATAAGCCCATTTGTCCTTTGTGCTATTTACTTATCGCTCTTCCATTTTTCTGGGAATTAGCTAAGCGGAAGGATTTATCTTGTGACACACGATGGCTACAAGAAAAATGCTTTTGTTGAACCGAATATTTGATGTCACTGAACCTTTGGATTTTCAAAACACATACGTAATTAGAAAATGTATAAATCACAATAATCTTTATATAGTTTGTTTCATACCGTTCTCCATAATGACGTGTGTGAAAATCATAGTAACAATAATAGGATATGTAGGTGAATAGTTTATTTTCTGCTAAAGCATGTTAAATAGATAACAAGTTCAAGGTTTTAAATGTTTAAAGATAATATGCTCCCTTGAACAGGCGCGGATAAAGAGATGGTAATTGAGCAACATATTGTTATATTGTTCTCATCAATTTTTTCCATTTCAACATAAACTTTCAATATATCTATTTTACATTTATTTTCCGCCTTTAGGATTCTCTCAAACTATTCGTGACTGTCGGAAAAGTTGTGATTTTAAGTACGACACAAGAATGAATCATTATTTTAAGAAATATAACTTCACCTCGCTCCGCTGCCAATATATTACACAATATATATCATAGCACATTTTATGACGCAGAAAAGTAGAACGCTAAAGCCTATTTCATTTAATTTCATTTCTTTCATTCACAAACTACATGTTTTGTACATCATTCAATCACCACCAGGTCTATCTGGCAAATTATGGCCCGAATTCCCAAAAAAAACAAAACACGAAGCAATAGATAACAAAGGTCGGAATAAAGTAGTAAACAGAAGACCTTCAAAATCACTGGCTTACATTAGATAATATAAAAAGATTGACGTGAGTTTGTTTATCTTATATTTAGAACTTCATTTGAAAGGTAAAGCTAAATCTAAATCATTATAACAAACGTTATGATTTTCACGAAAACATCAATATTTAACCAAAGTTCATTGTATTCTTCTTTGAGGTGTTGAAATATTCTGATTTTCTTATTTTTATTATATAAATAATTTCAAAAAGGATCAAAGTATTTTTCTTACCCTTCAGCAATAATGGCGTCTATTGTGAACGTGCTGATGGTCGTCTGTTGCTTACAGGTTTCTCAGACGTCATCACTTTTAAATCTACCGTCCCTGTCTATCCCTGGTTTGAATAAAGGAACAGTTCACAGTCAGGATGAATATGTTTGGTTGGAACAAGATTGTATTTTTCTAGAGCCAGAAAACGTTACCGCTCCTTTTGAATCTTGGATTCTTAAACATAAATTTAACTATAGATACCAAAAATGTGGAAAAAATTGCACCACCCCACCACCCATAGGAATCAGAAGTGGTGTTCCTTTAGGAGGTAGGGGTTATTCCTATTTTATTTAATTATATGGCCTTGAGAAAACGGTGGTCATTCTCAATTTCCATTTAAAGGAGATGGCCTGCCTGTTTCTGTATGCAAACAAAAGTAGATAATGATGATAGCTATATACTTCGATGAACGTTTAGAAAAATTATAGAAAATGTTTAAACGTTGATTCTAGAAGCTTTCACCTTTATAATACAATAACGAATTATGATTTTGCCGAGCACTAATTATAAATTCACCACACAATGATTTTCTTTAACTTTGACGTTTCCGATCTCATGTTATCCATGGGATGTTTATTCCACAAAATTGCACAAAATGCATCTTTAAAATGCATGATCTCCGGATTTTTTTCTTGATTTGGATGGTATCGTTATCCCTATATCGTCACCACCATTATTAACAGCTCTCAATTTTATTCAAAAGGCAGTGAATCATTTTATCCATAAAGATAAATGAAACATTGCTATTGTGAAAAAATAATTACCGGTTACTTGTCGCATTAATTAAATTTACAGGTGTAACTACAGGAACGGTTGAATTAAGAGCAGATGGAAGTTTTCATGAATGGAATATAATGAATCTCTCACCAGCGGGCGGGGCGAAAATCCAAGTAAGTAGCAACATACAAATGATTAATACAGTTCACAATGACGCATAAAGTTGATAACAATATTTCGGTTACACGCACTTATTAATTATTGTAGATGCCTAATGATTGATCATTGCCGAATGCCATTTCGGATTTTCAGCGGGTGAGCTACATTCTCGTGTTGGGCAGTTTTTGAATTTAGCAAATCCAAATCTTCTGTTAGAAATGAATGTAAACAAAGAAGGCCAGATTCATAAAGCACGATCAGATGTCTAGATTACAACTAAAGCATACGTTCCTTCTTTCAGTATAAAAGATGTAGTGGAAATCAATGTCAGGAAAAATTACCAAATCAGCTAGTAGTAATCAGACAAGGTCTATATGTTAAGAGAGTCTATTATCTGCTTTAGAAATGGGGGATGAAACTTAAACTGGCTTAAAACACGCACATTGCTAATTACGATAACAATATTTTCAGGTTTTTGATGAAGCATTTCTTGGAATACGTACTACAAGTAAACCCTACCAGAACTCAAACAATTATGAACCCAGAAACCACAATGATGAGAAGAGTCAATCTTTTGTGTTAAGAACACATCCTCCCTCTGGTTTACCAGGTGTACAGAGTTTATCTTATACTGGTCTTTACCCAGCAGCCCATCTTACAGTTGAAGATACACGTCTACCAATAACTGTTAACGTCACTGCCATGTCAACATATTTTTTTAATGATCTCAACTCTTCAGCTTTTCCCGCCATATCTTTCATCTTTACTGCAACCAATCCGTCCTTGATCGACACAGTTGAGGCCTCCTTCATGTTTAATCTACCTTTTGGTATAGAAAAAATGACCAGCAGAGAATTTGCAATACAATCAGGAATTCAAAATGGCGGTCAGAGTAGAAGTATGATTAAAGAAGCGGCTTCAGATTTGGAGTGCTTTACGATGTGCAATCAGTTACCAGCTTGTTTAACATGGATCTATGATGATTCTAATTCGACCTGCACCACTTTAACTTCCATAAACTTGAATGGTTTTAATGTTTCTAAATCATCTGGTTTAAAAGGCACATGGAGTATCAGTCAATCAACTCAATTAAAATGTCTGACTTTAAACAGACCTGGCACAGCCCCACCTAGCGGCAATATATCACTATGTACTAATATGGAGCTTGATGGTGTGACATTTGGTGTTGCTGATGATATTGGTGATCTATGGAAAATGTTTTCTGGCAGTGGGCAATTTAATTTTTCCGGGAGTAACTCATACGGAGTCCATGGTGCTATTTCTGTTAAAATGACCCTTCCACCAGGTCAAGTGGTAAAATTGCCAATGACAATGTCCTGGTTTTATCCTAATAGAGATTTTGGTGATAAAGTCTTTGGAAATTGGTACCAACATCTGTTTTCTAGTAGTGAAGACGTAGCAGAGAAATTGTTAAATGGTGAAAATGCTAATCTTGCTGAACAGTCAGAATCTGCTACTAAGCTGCATCAAGCTTTTCTAGGTACTCATGATAATCCAAGCAGTGTTCCTGTTTGGTTAGCAGACTTATTAATCAACAGCTTAGGTCATATCAGGTAGATCCTAAAGATGTATTATTTTATGATTGGGTATGCAGTGGAATGTTTAAAGAGCTGATGCACATTACGGCTCTAGTTGCAATGTCTTGTATAGTTAAAGATTTTGATCGTGTTATGTTTCAATTTATCGCAGGTCTGCTTTCTGGGTGGCCGATGGAAGATGGCGACAATTTGAAGCTTTTGATTGCCCAAATGTTGGTAAGTAAAATGTTTTATTTATAGAGCAATTATATATAAAATGTTTTGTACGACTTCTCTGTCTCTTTTCTAAGATATTGTTTAATATTTGGCTTGTATAACTTGTGTACTACTTTTCTCATATATCTTTTAGATTCCGTTCATAATGATGGTGAACGTCATATTCCATATATCATGATATTTCCCGAATCGGTAAAAAATAAGATGATTGGATGGGCTAAATCGCAGCTGTCGAATGGTATGATACCAGAGGAGTTACAGGATATTAATTGTGAAGCTAAATCGATAAAACCAGCAATAGATTTGCCTGGTGGTAGAATTATGTCAGACGTTTCTTCGATGTTCATAGTTTATTTACTGGAACTTTACAAGTGAGTTAGGTTTTAGGACACCTCCAAATAAAAAATATCCCCCACTTGAGTACAGACTGCAGAATTGTTAGGAGACCACATGGTCACAGGAAGAAAATTGAGGAAGGGAGGCTGATCATACATAAATGTGTCCGATAGTTACATATCTAAGCAAGAACAGCACATTGGTTATGGTCTGGATAGGGTAATTAATGTCTAATTAATAATTTAGATAACATTTCAGGCCTAAAAAAAAGACCTGCAATAGACAGATTTAGCTCTTGCATAATGTATGTTTAACAGAACTATAACATTTTATCCATATTAACTCATGCAAGAAATTGAAAAAAGCTCTTGTATTCTAATGCAGTCACGAGCTGTGTTTTTGTTGTTAACTTTCAGGTGGGGAAACGAACAAGGGTTTGCTTCATCGCTGTGGCCAGTTGCTAAAAAAGCTGCCGAATGGCATATGATGTCTGCAGACAAATATGGGACACTATATCGTATTCAAAATACGTATGATAATATTGGCCTTAATAACTATGATGTAGCCACATACAACGCTGCTTTTCATCTTTTGGCCATGAAAGCAGCCGAGCAGTTAGCAAGTGCGATGGGTAAGTGGAATACAGTAGTGATATAGCCGAGATAAAACATTACCGAGCTTACTGTAGTTCATGAATGTGGTTCGACCATCGGGTCGTGTCTCTTTTAAGCATATCACTCATATTAAGAACACTAACATGTGTGATGGGTGAGTGGAATTCATACCTAAAATTAAAATAACGCCAGAATACAGCAGCGGTGTAGACTGAGCCGCGACAAAACATTTCCTTCTCGTTTTTTTAAATTGTTGGTGAGAGAAAAGCTCGTACAGTTTGTAATACCCCCGTCAGACTGGGGTGGCGTCCTTACTGCGACGCTACGGCGACGGAAAATGGTCGCAGAGCGCGCCAAGATCGCCATAATCGCGGTAAACGCGTGGTGGAAACGCCAGATATCGTGCTGTGGTCTCCATGGTCGTGAATGATTGCCTAGTCACCACGTTTGTTTTAAGCATGTTCAAAACAAACGCCAAGGCTTTGCGATCTAACCTGGAAACTTGTAAGGCCCCAGTCAGACCGGGGTGGCGTCCTTACTGCGCTGCAGCGACCGTACGGCAACCAGAAAATGCACAAAGTCGACGGCAAACGTGAACACAACGTACAAAAATGTCCCAAAATATTACAAACTTGAAAAAAAAATTGCCTTTTCACATCTTTCCAGGGCAGATCGCAGAACCTTGGCGTTTGTTTTGAACATGCTCAAAACAAACGCCGTGATTCGGCGATCATTTGCGACCATCGAGACCACAGCGCGATATCTGGCGTTTCCACTACGCTTTAACCACGCTTATGGCGATCTTGACGCGCTCTGGGGCCATTTTCCGTCTCCGTAGCAGCGCAGTAAAGGCGCCACCCTGATCTGACGGGGTAAAAAGCGAGACTTTCTTCAAGTTTGTAATTTTTTGTGGACAATTTCTCGCCGTGTGTTTAAGTTTGCATTTTCTAGTCGCTGTACGGTCGCAGCAGCGCAGTAAGGACGCCACCCGGTCTGGCGGGGGCATTATGGTTGACGAATCGGATTCGAACAGGACTTTATTCGTCAGTTTAGAATATATTTTGACGTAAAGATATATGTGGTATAGATTCGTGAAACCCGCTTTCCACATAAATCAAAATTCAACAGACACGTGTTGTCAGTAATTGGCTGTTAATCGAAACGTTTGGTGTTCTGTTCGGTGTTCTGTCAATGACTATATTTACAATTAACTAAAAAAAAATAAAAAAATAAGATTCCAGTAGTTGGATTCGTGTCGCGAGATTCGGATATTCATAATGTCGGAAGTTTTAACACTATCACCGATAACATTTTAATAAAAGGAATACCTGGCGACTAAATTTGATTTCAACGATTAAAGACAGAGTAGACTGAAATGCAGAATACAAGACTATTTATTATTACCTTGTGTAACCACGTGCGTTGATGTCGATATTGATTCAGTACGACTACGGATGGAAAGTTAGCAATTTGCGATATGCTTAATAAAGAAGTATAACTTTGTAACAAATCGACAAATTTATAATTACAAAAATAGGCACTGACCAACAATAAATGAGGTCAAAAGAAATCCAACTGAAATGCTAAACAAAGTAATTTCTTTTGATCAACTCGTTTACTGGCTAAAATACCGATGCATTAATGATCATGGGCGATTAAAATTCGTCATTAATTAATAAGATCCTAAATGATTTGTGATTCAGGTGATACAGATTTTGCCAATAAATCAAGAAAGGCGTTTGAAGTTGGACAAATGGCTTTAGATAAATATTTATGGAACAATACGATGGGATATTATAATTCTTATACACCACATATAAACATGACTCAACCTAATCCAGGTGCTATTATGACTGATTGTTTTTATTCTCAGGTATTTTTTATTTATTTTACAGATTGTGCTTAACTGATTACCCTCATATACATTCTAATGAATTATGACTATCGTTATGATTAGTGTAGATAGAAGAGTTGACTTATTCTTTCTAGAACACCTGATACTATTGGTCACTGGACTTTCGGTTTATTCTAGTGTAGTTCAGTGTTTGGCTTTTGGAGTGGTGGGTTGACTCCGTCTATTAATACTATACTTTATGTGATTCCAGGTCTTGGCTCACTCAGCTGGTCTTGGTGATCTAGTTGACAGAGGGAGATTATCCTCTCACTTGAACGCAGAGTTATCACACAACGATTCTCCGTATGGTATGATAGTTCAAACTGGTACGTAATAATAATCTTTGATAACCTTCAAATCGATGGTATTTGCTAACAAAACGCCGTCTATGTTTGTTATTTCTGTGTTTTTAGGGCGATATCCATATCCCGGGGCATCGCAGGATAATGCGGTATGGATGATGGGCAATCCTAACTGGGCCTCCACGCAACTTCGTCTTGGACTTGATCCAGAAGAAGCTCTGAATGTAGCCAAGAAAAGCCTTGATAGATACCGTACTGTTCTTAACGATCTCTGGAACGTGGCTGGTAGGATATTAATTTTATGTATTAAAGGAACATAAGACAAAGTTAATTATTAGAGGCTTTTCCCAAATATAAATATAAAAATATTAAAGGAGGTAAATCTCTATTCTTTGCCAACTAGAAATGGGCACAAATGGGTCGTAACGCATATAATAATGTAATATGAATGTATATACATGTAAATTGATTTACACTCAATTGTTTCTAATTTAACCTTAATTTTTAATCAGTTATGTTCGGCGAAATACGCGAAGAGTCCAAATTGAATGGCAGTCTTTGGCGTCTGGTTATTCCAGTCACCACTGGTAGTATTCTCCTGTGGGATATGTTTAGCCTCGTTCATCGACTAGCTTCATTTAATGGCGCTCGAAAGCATTATGACAGGCGATTCGTACGCCAATCTTAAAGAATAGTGGATATCAGGAGCCCATCTTTTCACGGTAACACAACATCAATGTCAATTTAAATTGAACAATAAGTCGTATTTGCAATGTCGAAGACTGTGGATGATATTGAGTTAGCGACTTGCCTCCTTAAATAGCAGACATCCTTATGGTTGGAGATATAATCGTTTGTCTGGCATATAAATAGCACCAGAGCAATGAGTCATTGAAAAAACGAATTCCAATTAGTAGCCATACAAACGTGTGTGCATTTTGAAATGACCTGTGTTCAAACAGTTGAAAGGCTTTCGCTATTAGCAGTGTCAACGCAATTGCGTCACTTCCGGGACCAGCTAAAACTAGCTCCATTATTAATAAAATTTGATTGTCTCAACAAATTTTCAGATTATTGAGCTCGAATCACCTGTTCAATTATGACTTACTTATATTCCCAAAGCATCGGGCTACGTCGATACATGGGGCTAATATCTCATACTGTCCCAGGTAACCTATACTTTCAGGCAAATAAAAAAATCTAGCATTTTTTTTATTTTTTTTTGTGTGTGATTATTTATAATTAGGTCTCTCTGGTGGAATTGGTTATGGCGTTGGTGGTCAACCATTGATGATAAGTCACTATGGTTACTATATGTCATCGTGGCATATATTGTTGGCTTTATCTGGACAGGAAGCTGATCTACCATCCGGGGTATTGACCTTTGAACCTAAAATACCAGCTCCATTTAATTATCCAGTGATGTTACCAGGTGTAATCGGCACTATATCATCTAGTGTCAGTGATACAAACGTAACGTCATATAAACTAACTCTGATGTTTGGTCAATTAAATTTAAAACATCTGGGTGTCAACAACACATTCTTTCAAGGTAACGTGTCCGTTAAAGCCGGAGAAAGTGTTCAGTGGAATTGAAAAATAAAAGTGTACAATACCATTTTCTGAGTTCTCATTTTAATGTGCATTTCGATCATTGTAGTTGAATTTTTGCGGTTGATCATCGTGGCCATTTCGATCATAATAGGACACTCCTCTCGACCCATGTCTAACAATTACAGGACGCCTCTTCAAGTAACGTAATCTGTTCGTCAGAGTTTATCATTTTAATGTACATTTCGATCATTGTAGTTACACAATGGAACACATGTTTTGATCCATCCCTGATAGGCGTACAGTTGCAAATGATCATGGTGGTCATACAGAACACCTTAGCTTGTCATGGATAGATAGTTCGCTATTAGAGCATTATGTTTTCCAGATTTTGTCATCCTCATCAGTGTAATGCGTTTAGTTAATTGTGATTCGAATTAACTGTAGACGGTTGGTTGAAATTTGAAATTAACAGATATAAATAGCTCAAACCAACATTCTGGGTTAAGTGACCATAAAATATCCAGACAACAGCAAAGTTGGATCAATATATGCTTCAGCTATATTGTCACAAAGTGACCTCAGGTTCTTTAACTTAATTGCCCCCTTTTCCAAATTTCCAACAAACAACAGAACTAATTAATTTATTTTAAATATGTATATTGTACAATCAATTTACATATACAATTTAAGAGGTTTTTACAAAATTAAATGCTTTAAAGTTACAGTTCATTCCGGCATTTAGTACTCTGTTGCTTTAATTCAATCAATCCTCCTGATTAGCATTCAGATTAATTCTCCGTCTTAATTCCACCATCCCAATCGCGTAAGTTGTTTTTTTAAAACATTTTAAACCCGAACACAAATTCTCGGAAAACACAAAACCTTCACATGTCACAGATCTATTTCCCGGATTCACCTAGACTCCCTAATTGTATTAAAATTTCACCAAGATTGAAATGTACTTCACCAAGACTACATGCGTACGATTCACAAAGTTCACCAAGATTAAACTACAATATGATTCACAAGGTTACCCCTGGGTTGAAATATGATTTATATCGATCACCTAGACATTACCGGTTAAATGTTATTTCATCAAGGAACGGATTCTTCACATTTAAATACATCGTATTTAATTACCAGGTTCTAAGCATCTAAAGCCAGTCATTGGTGTTACTGTAGATATTGAAAAACAGTCATGTCTGATACTTTAAAATCTCTCTGATCTAAGTAGAGAAAACAGCCATGTCTATCCTGTAACTTATTTTAAACCTCTCTGACAAACTTTTCTAATTCCTACACCAAGAAACTTTTAGTCACTCAAACATCCAATCAGAACTATGCACCACCTGCACATGCATCACAATCCAGACACATTCATTACTTTACACCCTCATTACCTAACTTGCTCAGACATACCAACAATCGTTCTGTAAAAACAACGCATATACATTGAAAATAATTAAACTTTATTAACCAAAACCTGTACAACCCTTAATAAATGTCTTTAAAAGAAATAAATATTCCCTTTAGCCATGTACCAAATTAATTAGGTACCCTAAATCACAGAAATAAACCATGTCACAATTATATATAGCAAATTAACATACCAATTGTGACATATATACACTGTACATCACTGGAGCTAAGAAAAAGGGGTCACATAAAACACTCAGTAAACCCCCCACCCCCACCATCATACTGATTTCGTATAAATCGACTGATCACTGGAACAATGAAAAGGAGTCGTATTAAACCATCATTAAGAACCCTACGTTGGTTTCTCATAAATCAAGGCATTGAATTTAAAATTTCTGTTACCAGCTACTTTTTAATTATCAAACGCCAAAATATATTCAAAATCTACTTACTCCATTATATGTGTAAGACATTAAGATCACAGTACATGCCATTATTTATTAATATATGAAATTCTGTACTGTAGACATCTTCAAGTCAAATATAAAGGTACAAATCTATATTTCAAGAATAAAAATAAATGAATCCACATAAACATAATAGCGGGTAAGGAACTTTGTCTGAAGTGTTGTTTGTGCTATTCAAATTCTGTGTAGATTGGTTCGTTGGTTGATTGATGGATTGTGAAATCGGTGGTTTTGCGATCTGAACAAAAAACACAAACAACATATCAAACTTTAAAGAGCAAAACAGTAATATTAGGTAAGTTCATTATACAGAAAAAAAACAGCAAATTGGTACGGTTATATTTATTGAATTTAATATAGCGCTCATCATTACATCATTCATGCAATCAATGGCCCTGTACATCAACAATATATACTATATATATATTATACTCTTAAAAAAGTAATGGATATTCAGAAACAGTACAAAACTGCGGAAATGCACTGCTGTTTTATTAGAGGTAGCCAGTGTATGTTAATAACAGGCCAATTTCACTGGCAAAGAGATACACTGTCAAAAGTGAAAATGGACGTTTTTGATTTTTGTCTTAATAATGAGTAATTGCTCCACCAATTCTCGGACATTCAGCAATTCGACGTGGCATGCTCCTAATTAACCGTCCAATCACGATTTGGAGCAATCTGACCCACTCTTCATGCAGTGCCACGGCCAATTCTTGCAGTGTTGTCGGTTGACGTTGACGTCGACGAACACGTCGCCCGATCATGTGGTCACGGTAGTACACACCAGTGACCCTTCCTTGAACAATATGCAAGTCCGTTCTGTCAGTCATAGTGATTCCTCCCCACTCCATAACAGACCCACGCTCGAATCTATCATGCTGTCTGACGTTAACGCAGGCCCGTAACAGCCCCCCCCCCCCCGGAAAAGATTTTCGACCATAAAAAAATAGATATACATTGTCCGTCAATATTACAGCACCCCCGAAAAAACTTCCCGCCCCCTCGTTGATCTGAACTAGTTACGGCCCTGCGTTAACGTTAGCATGACGCTCATTTACTCACCTCCAAACGCGAGCACGCCTATCGGTGAAATCCAGAATAAATCTGGACTCATCTGAGAACATTACACGCGCCCATCGACGATTACCCCAATCTTTACACTGTCTACACCATTGACGCCTGTTTGCCATGTACTGCCGAGTTAATAGAGGCACAACACGCGGTCGTCGCATGCAAATGATTTCTAATCGTATGGGTGTAACTCGAATTTCTGTAACTTGGTACGAGTTTACAGAAAGCTGATTGTACGAATATATCGATCCTGGGCTTGTGTAGTGGCTCTAGGACGACCTGAACGAGGTCTATCATCAGCATTGTGTGTTTGTTGGTACCGTTTCCACAGTCTGCTGATCTCAGACTGTGACACATTAAGCATGTTGGCTACTGCTCGCTGTGTAGAACCCATTTGAAGCATGCCAATAGCACGTAGACGTTCATTGCAAATTAAACGTAACACACTAAAGCAAAAATCGTATGCACGAACCGATAGAAAAGCATTGGTATAAATGTAGTTGTGTGAGAGCGTCTTGTGAACTGCAGAATTTTGATTGTCGAAGAATCAATTTAGCAGTGAGGTTTTGCATTGGTTGAAGAGGGGCTAATGTGACTTTTGGCAAATTCACAAAATATGAGAGAATTGTTTAACTTTAAAAAGTCCAAACCGACAATATACAGAAATAAAATATATAAATATAAATCATTTGATTAATTTGTCTCTTTAACGTAGTGACCATTTTAATTTTGGTCTGGTTATGTTCAATTTAAAAAGTTAATAGGGCATTTGGACTTCCCCATTTAAAAGACATTGCTTAAAACCCTTAAACTTTTACAGGCAAATACAAATTTCACATCATAGAACTTGCATTTATTGTTTATAATGATTTGTTTTATTGTAAATGTGTAAATGCCACAGAACATAATATAAAACAGCCCAAGGTTTAAGTTTGTCTTAGACTGTTCCACATTGTAGCTAGTATTCCGACCTTGAATTAAGTGTTGCCCTTCATATTGGCATGTGTGTGAATACCCACATTTTTTTTATTAAAGCACCTATTTAAAGACAGATAACAAGTTCAATAAAAAAAATGCCAGTAGCCCGAAAACTTTTTAAAGATATGTTCCCTTGAACAGGCGCAGATAAAGAGGTGGGGAATATATATCATTATATTGTTATCACCAATTGTTGTTTTTCAATTTTATATAAACTACCAATAATACTTCATTTAATACTACACATTCTCAAACTATTCTTGACTCTCAGAAAAGTGTTGTTGTTAGTTTAAAAAGCAAGACCCATGAAAGACTCTGGATGTGTTATCTTTATTACATTTTCGGTAATACATATAGACACAAAATATAGTCATATGTAGCTTCATAGTCAGTTATATACGGTACTTGACTCTCAGAAAAGTGTTGTTGTTAGTTTAAAAAGCAAGACCCATGAAAGACTCTGGATGTGTTATCTTTATTACATTTTCGGTAATACATATAGACACAAAATATAGTCATATGTAGCTTCATAGTCAGTTATATACGGTACTAGCTTTGGACACAGGTATTCTGCATTTTTTTTTACTGCTTAGCTACCAATCTATTACATAAGGTGGCCACGAAAAGCGTGGAAATATACAGATACAGTCCCTAAAAGGTATCTGGTAAACAGCTGAGGAAAAGATTATTTTGAAGTGGCTCTCGAAAGATATTGTTGAATCGGTGATAGCACCGGTTTGCGCTTGCCTTGTTAATTGGTTGAAAAAACTCCCCAGCAATAGAAAGGATACTCTATTGATTTTGTGGACATGTTGCTTGATCTTGTGTGGATTTAACTTTAGTTGTGAATTCATCTGAACAGTTCTCAACATCCTGTACAGTTGCTGTTTCTGACGAATGATAAAAACTCATGTATAAATGTGTATCATCTGCTAAGAAACGAACACTCACAATATTGCATTAAATGGCTTCGTGAATATTATAAATAAGACAGGCCCCATGACTAATCCTTGAGGAACTCCGCAAAGCATT